CAACCCAACCCAAAAAAAAGCTTTATAAAATCGTTAAAAAGTGAATATTTTTTAAAATATAGTGTGCTTATCAAAGATAATGCTTTTAAGCCAACACCAAATCCCATTTTTTGACATGCAATCCACACCATTTAATTCCAAATATCTTGTGCTTATCACGAGAATTGATCTTATGCATCTTGGTGCTGTAATGATCTGTAATCCAATTAGGATTAATCTAAGGATGCAAATCCTTTCCCACTTTTCTCATTGTAACTTAGATTCTCATCAGAACTCAACCTTTTAGTTGTAATTATATTTCACTCTAATTGGTTCTTGAAATATTTTTACTACAAACTAGTCTTTCAGGTAGGGGTGTTAAAAAACCCGACCAACTCGATTAATCCGATCAACCCAACCCAACCCAACCCAACGCGAAATAACTTAACCCGAAGCAACCCGATATCTAATCGAGTTGTAAAATTTTCAAACCGTAGGTATTGAGTTGATATTAGGTTACTACTATTTGAACCCAACCCAACCCAACCCAACCCAATGAATCCGATATACATTTATTTTTTGGATTTAATATGATTGTTGAATTTCTATTAATATATACACGAGACAATTACACTATCACGTACGTTATTCATATACACATCTTTTCAATCTATTCACATCTCTATATAACTCATTGGTATATATGTTCGTTAACTATAAACATATATACGTAAATGGAGAAATTTAAATGGATGTGATATACGTAAGAAGTATGGATAAGTTGTAACAAATAGTTGATGATGAAAAATAAATTATGAGTAGAGAAATAACATATTCAATGTTAGAAAAATATTTTAATGTACCAAAGTATCAAACCGACTAACCCGTACGGTTTGGGTTGGGTTGGGTTGGGTTAAGATTTTTCAAATCGCAAGTATTGGGTTGGGTTGTTCAAATGTCTTCAACCCGATCAATCCAACCCATGAACACCCCTACTTTCAGGTATTTGATTGTAATTATATTTTAGTTATAATATTTGTTGTTATTCACTACTAAAACAAGGTTATCAACGATGAAAGAATCCTTCGGTGAAGATGATTATGGACGGATTTCAGATGGTAATCAACCGTCGATTCCATAATGATCTGTAATCTAAACTGACCGTGCCAAATGAAAATGACCTATATTACAAACGGTTTTTGAAGAAAGAGAATCCAAATTGCATCACTTGTGGTCTAAATGGTTCATATTTGGTCTAAATAGGTATAATCGGTCTTGATTGCTTATAACGGGTCATAATTGGCATTAGCGGGTCTTATGTTGCGGTCCCAAAATGTGTAGAATTCCAATGTGGATAACGAGATCTAAGGTGTTGCAAATGTGCAAGTGTTTATAAGGGTTTTAAACCCATATCATCTAGAAATTATCTTCCAAATTCAAAATGAAGATAAACTAAAGTGGCCAACAAAAAACCCACCGAAGGCTGGTTATGACCCATTTAGAGCTAATTGCCATTCGTTCTATGTATGTTTTACCAACGAATTTCCATTGAGATACCAGATTGCTCAAGGAAGGGAACACAGATGTTACCTTATAAGGGATTAGATATCTCAACACGCATTTTAAATTCATGAGCCCAAATGTAGATAAATGAGACAATAAGTGGTATGGTTGGACAGGGAAATTACATTAGCCATGGTATTTAGTAGAATAAATGAATAAATTAAATAAATAATCGATAATCCTTGCAAGTTATTGATGGATTATCGTGCAAAGGTATACTGACGGGTTTTCTTAAAAGTAAATGGTTTTAAAATTGAAGGGTGTGGTTATTTTGTTTGTAAAATATGTGTTTCTTGTATTAAATTAATGCAAAACGTTTAGTTTGATGGAATGGTTTGGAGGGATTTGGAATATTTGATTTTTAGGATTTGTTATGGAATTGAATTTCATTTTTTATAAATTGTCTTATTATTAATTGATTATTAAAAAGCAAACGTTCTTAACATATTTTAAAATATTATTATATACAAATCGTTCAAAATCCCTTGAAATCCCAACCACTCATTGGGATTTCAAAATCCTAGAGGATTGTAAATCCGAGCAATCCTATAAACTAAGTACATGATTAGAATGAATTAGAATTCCAAATCCTCCAAACCTTTTTATTCTTGCAAACCAAACATAACATTTTTTTTGAAGCATATAATATTTATATACGGCAGATTTTAAAACAAATAAACTCACATTCCCTCTTCACATTTGGAGAGGTTTGAAC